CGTTGATGTGTCTCTTCAATTATAAATTTCCAAACTAACTTTGACCTCTTGACCTTACAATTTTATAATTTCCATTTCTGTTTTAGAATTCTGCCAAAAAAATTTCATTAATATTTTATGTTTCACCCGTCAGTAATGTGACCTTTTTGACATAATCATTTAGAATTTTGTATGTGAGCCAAACAAATACACCAATGCATGAAACAAGCCGGCCGTTACCTATCCCATCATAGTGCACATCTCAACCCACATAGTTTCATTCGAATCACCACTGAAGTCACGTGCCTTTTACACATGTCAAATTTAGCATAGTGTGAATACTATTGTTTATAATAACCAGTACAATGTGACATGTCAAATTACACATTCTAATCACCTCGCGTTAACAATTTAAAGCAAAAATTTAATAAATGACACAAAATAGCATTTAGCAAATATATTATTTAACGTTTATATTACGTTTCTAAAGCAAAAATTAAATACATAAAATCATATACGGACAAAATGTACACTTTTCTAAAAAAAAAATGTTTTATTCAAACCTCCTACTAAACTCGTATTAATAACTTTGCGATAATCTCACAATTTAACGAGCCTTTAATTTTAGTTTTCCTATGAAAAACCATTCCCTAGATTTTAACCACATGGGATCTTAACATAACCTAACTTTTTATTCAAAAGCTAAATTATCATAACTCTGAAACCTGGACTAAGGATCTCAAAATTACATTAGCTGTACACATGGATGGACAACACAAAAACACCAATAATAGCAATTCAACTTTTTATTCAAAAGCTAAATTACCCAATTTAGTCTAACTCGACTAAAACTATAATCTTGAGACTTGGACTAGAGTCCCAAAACTACATTAGCTTTATATAGCTAATTAACCACATATACGAACAACATAAAAACACAAATTAACGAATCTCAGTAGAAACCACGGCCAACTTGGAAACTAGAGTTAATCACTCATAAACGTCATCCCTAGATCTGCTGTCTTTCTACTGCGAGCCGGAGACATTAGTTCCTTACTTTATTCCCTATTCCGTTTCCTTATCATTATTATCTTAGTTATATCAAAAAAAAATTTTTTTTTTTTAAAACCTACTCCCTAGACTCCCTCTTTAAGTCTTGAATTTTACTACAGATATTAACCCGATAATATACACACCTAACCAGTGATATTATATTGTTTAATAAACCTATCAATCTTAACTTATGAATGATTATATTTTATTGTCTATATAGTTAAATTTCAAACATTTAGTTCCTAATCAAATTTTAACCTTAAACTAATATTATTTGATCTGATAATCAAATTAACAAATTCAATTTTCCAGAAAAAATATATTTACTCAATTTTTCGAATATCTTCACCAGATTTCTTTTTTCCACAAGAATTTTTTCTGTTGCTGGATTGTACAGGTTTTCTTCTTCCAAATTTCTTCCAGGGTACTCGACCTCGTAGTCACGTGCACCAAATCAAATATGTATTCTTCTTCTAAAGTGACTTCTTACCCCAAAGGTCGAAACTGCGTTACGGCACCAAATCAAATATGTATTCTTCTAGATTTCCTTGAAGGTCGAGTCTGGTCACGGAAACCAAATCAAATATGTAGTACCATGGCCCTTTCTGTTTAAGTGGAGAGCGGGAGTTTGCGGACCGGTCGCCACATCCTACGTATGACCCATGCATCTTTTCTTACTACATATTTTAGTAGCCTTGTGACTGTCTAGAATTTGTCTCTTTACTTCTGCTTCACGTTGTGTATTTACTTCTTGCTGTTTTCTTAAGATGTTTGTCTTCTCGGTAGTTATAACAATGCAACATGGATACAAACATAATATGGGCGAGTCTGCTGATAGAAATTGCTACATCCTTCCCCTTCTGTAATCAACATGCTGTCGAACGAATTCTCACAATACTGGCCTTAGTAGAAAAATTCTAATTTCCATCGACTGATGATATTCGTTTATTCAGTAATTTATTCAGGAATATTACTAACTTGAACTTCAAGTCATATATTAGCCTATTCAGAATACGACATTCTCCATAACAAATTACCAAAACTTATTTTTGTTGAAGTCTGGTTATATTAAAGTTAACGGGAGCTTCTAATTACCCAATTTTCTACCGGGACCTCATTTGACCCCTGGCCAGTTGGTTTCAAAATAGATTAAAATCCCTGTTCTTATCACAAATGCTAAAATAACTCTCCTCAAGAGATTCAGGAGAGCGATTTACCATTAAATTTTCCGATTTCAGGAGAGCCTTTTTTGACTCTCCAGAAATTTATTCACATGAAGGCCTGTGATAGATGACTCCTATTGACAAATATTTTAAAAATTTAAGTAGTTGAAAATCTGACCTCGTTTTCAGAAGGTAGATAGTTGAAAAATTTTGTTGACATTTCTAGTTTAATCCACCCATTTGTAACGGATTCTGAAAGTTTCAAGTTGAAATCTTCAAAACTAAAAAAAGTTACACTCAGGATTTTCATTGTTTTCAATTTTAAGCTTAGAATTAGGTCATGCACAGGCATGGTAGAGATGACATTTGATTAAGTGGGCCAGGTCATTATAAACAACGCTCAGGAAATTAAAAGCTTGTAAACCGACTCTCGTTCTCTTAATCAAACCAGATGCTTTTAGTTGATTTTCATGCGCCCTAATTTCATGTGGACATATATTGTCTGTCTGTCCACAATTTGTTTATGGACACTCTAGTACAGGTCACAATTCTTATCTGATTTTGTCGAAACTTGAAATACATGTTTATCTCTAAAAGATCTTGGTTCCTTTTAATATTGGCATGTATCGGAGCGAAATTTCATGGATTATGGCCCCTGATTTTACAGAAAATCACAGCTTTAGCTTGTGGACAATCTAGAGGTCACAATTTTCATCTGATTTTGATGAAATTTGAAATGCATGTTTATAACCCAAAGATCTTCGTTCCTGTGTATCCCAAATCCGATATTTGCACATTTCAGACCATAACTACCAGGATTATGGCCCCAGATTGTACGAAAAATCCCTTTTTATTTTTTTTAGCTTGTTCTCTATCCATCTCTTCGTTCCTGTGTATCCTAAATATCTCAGTCCAATCCGGTATTTGCGCATTTCAGACCATAACTACCAGGATTATGGCCCCTGATATGACGAGAAAAACCCTTCTTTTTTTTTTCAGCTTTTTCTCTATCCATCTCTTGCAAAATGTGGGCGTGTCTTGTGTAATTGTTTGTGTGTGGTGCAGTCCCCCTGTACTTACTAATATATTAGTTATATATGCATGTTCTAAGCAGCAAAAGAAACGTCAGGTTGGTATGTTACTCTGAATAGACGCATTGCATAAAACATGCCAAATGTTTTTATTGCATATTTGTGACCACATCTCCAACTTTACCTGAGTAATAAGGCTCCTTCCCAAAACACAGAATTGAACCCAGGAAATGTTCTCAAAAACGCAACCTGACTTCGGAGATTGTAATGTGTTTCCATGATTTTCATGTAACTCTTGCTTCATGAGCTGTTCACCGGGACCAGCCCTATAAAATGCACCCCCATACCTGGTTGAATCATTCACACTATAGCATGCCATGTCTCACCACAGCTCAGAGGAACCAGGCGCTTGGAGGACTCAACACTGCCCAAGCCGTTGCCAATCACTTCCAGGTCAATGTTCGGACCATCTACAGGCTTCAGCAACACTTTCGGGCCACCAACACCACGGATGATCGCCCCCGAACTGGTAGACCTAGGGTTACCACAAGGCGACAAGACCGCCATGTTGTGCGACAGCATGTGCAGAATCCCTTCACACAGGCATCTAAGACAACACGTCAGACAGTCGGAACACACAGAAGACCCATCAGTACCGATACAATGCGCTGACATCTCACCAGAGAGAACATCCATTGCCATAGACATTACCGTGGACCAATCCTCACCCCACGCCATCGACGTGAAGGTCTACAGTTTGCCCAACAACACCAGAACTGGTGACACAGGCAGTGGAGAACTGTTCTGTTCACAGATGAGAGTCGGTATTGTGTATCAACTGCAAATGGCAGGACCAGAATATGGCGTTGACTTGCCCAGCATTATTCAGACCAATGTGTCATGGAACAAGACTCGTGGGGAGGTCCAAGCATAATGGTTTGGGGTGGAATTAGCCAGAACCAGAGAGTGGGTCCTGTGGTGTTCCAAAATCTTGGCCCAGGGAGAGGAGGCGGCATCACAGCAGTTCGCTACATCAATCAAGCTCTCAGACCCCACGCCATACCACATAATCATTTCGCACATCATCGAAACAATGTTTTCAACTTCCAGCATGACAATGCCCATGCCTACACCGCTAGAGTTACTCAGGACTTTCTACAGCAGAACGGTGTAAACGTTATGCACTAGACAGCCCTTAGTCTGGACTTAAACCCAATTGAACATCTTTGGGATGAAATTCAGAGGAGACTTAATAACGTACCGAGACCAAACACAGGCTTTTCTGAAAATGTGGTTTTAGGTGCCAATGGCGTTTATCAATCGTCTGGTCCACGCCATGTACAGATGTTGCGCTGCTGTTATTGACACTCACAGTGGACACACCAGATACTGATGTATAGACAGACTCTAAACCTTCTCATAATGTCTTGGAATTGTGATGAATTAATCACTAATGTGTCAACATACTGTTCACAAAAAATTGCTTTGATCCATTTAGTATGTCGTTTTCTAGAATTATTTGATTAAAGTGCCTCTCTGATTTTGAAATCGTACTGACAATTTTCGGCTAAATAAATACCTCTGTAGTTTCATTGGAATTTACCAATATTTTGATTAAATATTGATTGTTAAAATACAACTTAAAGAATTCCATTAGTGCAAAAAACTGTCTAGTATAACTAGGTTGTAAAACAGCAATAATGAATTTCACAGTTTTACATTTCAGCTTGGATAACAGGGTATATGAACCTATATTTACTGTCTTTATTTCTAGAATAGTTGCTGCACTGCCAACCATTAGATATGCCCTGGATAATGGTGCCAAGAGTGTTGTTTTAATGAGCCATCTCGGACGACCAGATGGAAATAGTAATCCTAAATACTCACTGGCTCCTGTTGGTATCGATCTTGAAAAAGAGTTAGGGAGGTAAGTTTATATTGTTTTGATACACTTTTTGTATGCCCATATTGCTATTAGGCATGTCAGCTCATCCTTTCTATGTCTGGTGTCCACAACTGCTTGTGCACATTCTAGAGGCTACAGTTATCATCAGATTGATACACAATTTATACTCATTGTTTACGTTCATGAGACAGACAGCTTTTAATTTTGAGAGTTAAGTAGTTGGATGACTCGATTGTCTACAAAAAGCTAAATTTACAATTAATTAATATATGTGATATGTTTATTTTGGGCTTTAGGCGGGGGAAATCAACCTCACTGTTGACTTGTTACAATTCATTTTTTGTCCCCCGCCTTTTCGGAGAAAGCAGGGGACTATTAAAATGGGTTCGTCTGTCTGTCCGTCACACTTTTTGGGACACAATAACTCTCTTTCTAATTGATCTACAATGTTCAAACTTGGTGTAGGTGTTTATTAGGTCAATGCCTTGATGGAGTTCGAAGATGAGCATTTTCGGCTAAGGGTAAGCAGATATAAGCAATTTGATTGGTTGATGTTTCATTACATCAATACCTTGATTAAGTTCGATAATGAGCATTTTCTGCTCAGGGTAAGCAGAGCCATAAGCAATTTGATGGGTTGAGACCTTGGAACAATAACTCTCCTTCTAATTGAGCTAAAATGTTCTAACTTGGTGTAGGTGTTTATTAGGTCAGTGCCTTGATGGAGTTCGAAGATGAGCATTTTCTTATTAGGGTAAGCAGAGATAAGCAATTTGATTGGTTGATGCTTTTGGACACGATAACTTTAGTTCTAATTAAGTGAGAGTGATGAAACTTGGTGTATAGTTTCATTACATCAATACCTTGACTAAGTTGGATAATGAGCATTTTCTGCTCAGGGTAAGCAGAGCGATAAGCAATTTGATTGGTCGAGACCTTGGAACACAACAACTCTCATTCTAATTGAGTTAGAATGTTCACAATTGGCATAGGTGTCTATTAGATGAATGCCTTGATGGAGTTCGAAGATGAGAATTTTCTGCTTAGGGTAAGCAGAGATAAGCAATTTGATTGGTTGATATACATGAGACACAATAACTTTAGTTCTAATTTAGTAAGGGTGAGGACACTTGGTGTATAGCTTTATTACATCAATACCTTGACTAAGTTGGATTATGAATATTTTCTGCTGAGGGTAAGCAGAGCGATAAGCTATTTGATTGGTCAAGACTTTGGAACACAATAACTTTCCTTCTAATTGAGGTAGAATGTTTAAACTTGGTGTAAGCGTTCATTAGGTGAATGCCTTGATGGAGTTCTATGATGAACATTGTCTGCTTGAGGTAAGCAGAAATAAGCAATCTGATTGGTTGATGCTTTGAGGCACGATAACTTTGGTTATAATGAAGTGAGAGCGATGGAACTCTGAATATAGATTCATTATATCATTACCTTGACTAATTTCGATGGTGAGAATTTTCTGCTTAGGCTAATGAGTGATAAGCAATTTGATTGGTCAAGACTTTGGAACATAACAACTCTGCTTTTAATTGAGATAGAATGTTTAGACTTGATGTAGATGTTCATTAGGTGAATGTCTTGACTGAGTTCAATGATTAACATTTCGAGCTGAAGCTAAGCAGAGCTAATCAATTTCATTGGTCAATGCTTTGGGACAAGATAATCTTGATTCTATCTGATAGAGAGTGATGAAACTTAGTGTATAGTTTGATTGCTTGATACTTCTGAAAAAAAAAAAAATGTGCGATTAATTAATGTGTGTCATCTATTTATTTTGGGATTTCGGCGGGGGAAATCAGCCTCACTGTTGGCTTGTTTCTATGCCCAAATGGATGAAATTGGTTCGCAGGATTTGAATAAGTGAAACAAAAAAGCGTATTGAATTTCAACAATTTCTGTTAATTACTTCTAGAGTTATCGACCTTTGTTTCACCTTGTAGGATTTTCTGATCTCTTGAACAACAAAGTTATCATTTGATCTGTATGAATTTTAAAAAAAACCAGCGAAACCTACCAAATTTCAACAACTTATTATCAGATCTGTATGAATTTTCATGTACAATAATTAATAGAATACAATATCAAAAAAACATCTATTAATATTATCTGAATATTAAATTCATCATTGATCCCATCAAACCGTCTGTTATCGGTTTGTATTACCTGTTTTTATTGATTGGAAGTTTCTCACATTTTCATGTGGATTGTCGTTGCGCCGGTCCGTCCGCAGACAGATGTCCGCTGGTCCGTCCACAATTTGTTTGTGAACACTCTACAGGTCGCAATTTTTATCCCGACTTTTCCGAAACTTGAAATACAGGTTTATCTCCTAACGATGTAGGTTCCTTTCAATAATGGCATGTATCGGATAGTAACTTCTTAGATTATGGCCAAAGATTGTACGAAAAATCATGTTTTTAGCTTGTAGATACTCCAGAGGTCACAATTTTTATCCAATTTTGATGAAACTTGAAACATATGTTTATAACCCAACGATCTTGGACAGTAACTTCCTGGATTATGGCCCCTGATTGAACGAAAAATCACATATTTAGCTTGTGGTCCATTTGATATTCGCGCATTTCAGACCATAACTTCCTGGATTATGGCTCCCTGATTGTATGAAAAATCAGGGTTTTTTTTTTAGCTTGTTCTCTATCACTTGCAAAATGTGGGCGTATCTTGCCTGGCAACCACTTGTTAATAAAACGCGAAGCTGAACGAATCTCAACATTTATATTAATAAACATCATGTTTTACTTTGATCTCTATGAAATTTATGTGCATTATTTACACATAAATTGAAGAAGTCTATGTCATTTGAACAATTTTTGTTAATTACTTCGAGAGTTATGGCCCTTGTTTCACTTTGTAGACCCTTGTGAACGCTCGATCAACAAAAGTTATCATCAAATTTATCATTGCCAGTGAACAGTAACCACCTCCTGAATTTGAGACACATAGTCCATTCTAAACTGAATTTAGTTAGTAAAAAAGAGAGAACACTACTGGTATCAATTTTTAGCATTATAGCATGCATCAAGACTTTGTAAACACTCTAAACATCGTAGATCTTGCCTCCCGTCACCAACAATAAAACTGCTGGTCGGTATATTTCTAATTGCATGTTTATTTATTGCATGTTTATCTATTGCATTGACAATAAATTTGAATTTTTCATTATGAAGGCCTGTCAAGTTTTTAAAGGACTGTGTTGGTGCAGAGGTTGAGAGGGAATGTGCCAATCCCGCTAATGGTTCTGTTATTCTTCTTGAAAATCTAAGATTCCATGTTGAAGAAGAAGGGAAAGGTGTAGATAGCGATGGTAAAAAGGTATGACTATCGGTATGCAGATTTATATATTGTACTTTTTCTTAATTGTTTTAATTTTCAGTTCTGTTGGTTAAGAAGCCCATCAAACACTGATTACCGTAAATCCTTCATATGGGTGTTGATTGATTACAGGCATGTGCATAGTAGCCAAACCATTATCAATGTAATGAATGGTAAAATGATGCAGTCTTGTAAATAAACAACTTATTTAAAGAAGCTAAGTCAATCAATATTGATGCTGTTATCTTGCCGTGAAGCTATCCTAGTATCGAATATTTAAGACACAATTAACAATTTATAATCAGTAGCCTACGCGAGTCATGTACCCTATGGTTTCAGGTCTCATTTTGTAATGAACAAATAAAAACCCTACAACACAATGTGGAAGAAATTGGTAAAAGCTGATTCACAAACAAGATAATGATAATATACCCTTCAAAAAAAGTAGGGGATATTGAAATGCAAAAAACTATGGTGGTTGTGATATGATAAATAGTCATGGACACTTGACATGCTTTGAGAGTATGTTCACAGGTGAAGAACTTATCGCCCCAACAGAACCACTGAGCTGCGCGTGCGACAGGCAATAGCACCATACACGTGGGAGGGGTTCATTGTCAGATTTGACACTTCAAGGAAGGGTTGATGAAAACTGAAGCATGCTGGTTTATCCTATCCATGTTTGCTTTCCTATCAGTTCTTGCATAAGATTTACTGTTTCTTTGCTTTAATGTGTTTTGTGTAATTTGCAATGAGATGTCTTCAACATGATGAACGTCTACGTGCTATTAGCATGCTTCAACTGGGTTCTACACAGCGAGCAGTAGCCAACATGCTTAATGTGTCACAGTTACACCCCATCTGTAGTACCATGGGTCGTTTGTCAGACATGGAGAATGCATGGTCAGCACTAAACCTGGTCGACACATTCGATGTATAACCCATGCATCGTTTCTTACTACATATTCTGGAAGAGCCCATGATCGTCTAGTATTGTCTCTGGTCGCATATGTTTCTTATTTTCTTCTTGTAGGACTCCACTATAAATATTGTGTATTTATTCTGCCATTCAGTTTATGGTTAAATACATTAACAACAATACCACATCTCGTTTCTACATTTTATATTAAGCACTGCTACATATAGGTTACAAAGTTACAAGCATAATAAAGTCATTCTCTCTAACCTGCTCTCGTGCAGACTCGGCGAGTCTGCTGATGGAGATTCCTACATTTTCTCCCTACGAGCACTACATGATGGCTGTCTACCCTAGAGCGCACATTCTTTTCATTATATATTCTCAGATTCACACCCATTAATTATTCTATTGGCTAATTATGATGTAATTAATCATGTGATTGGTCACTCTTGCCAAATATGAAATGGTAATTTCCTATCACATGCTTTTAGAATTTATTCTTAAAAAATACAAATGACCAACATGTTTACTAAACTATAGCTCAGTTAAATTATCAAAATAACCAGCATATACTTCCTATATTTATGGTCATGAATTTAGAATCAATAATATGAAAGATAACGCTATTGTTCCAGCCCTCATATTTCTCCATTCTGTCTTTAGACCCCATGTCTTGTTATTGTCACAATACTTCATAAACAATTTTAATTTGCGTTTCAGAATTAAATTATACCATAACTAATATTTTGGCAATGGAGAATAATTAATCAAAACCATAATATTATTTTACATAGATGTTTATTAGCACAAATTCTTGTTCTCCATATTACTACAAATCGACTACATACAGCCCATTTGCATGCGCGGCGACCGCGTGTTGTGCCTCCACTAACTCGACAGCTTATGGCAAACAGGCTTCAATGGTGTAGGCAGCATAGAAATTGGGGTAATCGTCGATGGGCGCGTGTAATGTTCTCAGATGAGTCCAGATTTACTCTGGATTTCACCGATAGGCGTGCTCGTGTTTGGAGGCGTGTAAATGAGCGTCATGCTAACCTTAAATTCAGACAGCTTGACAGATTTGGGCAATTTAAATGTCAGTTAATACAGAAATGGCGTATTTACTTATTCTGAAAATGTCAGCTCGAAATATTGTGTCTTTTTTTGTCTTCACTTAAGTGTTATGAACTTATAGATGCAAACATTCTGTACCATTTGTAAACTTTGCCAAAATGAGAGCTCCAAAATAGCCAGCTTGTCGTCTGGAATTTGTTATATTGAGAAAAGAAATCCGATCGGAAATTTATTATTGCGTAGCAAATTGCTGTAATTTACATGTTGTTACCACGCTAAAGGCTACATTTTTTAACAGAGTTATTTGAAATTTGGCCTGAAGTACCCTATTCAGTGTTCTGCGTCCTTCATTCAGTTTGAGAATTTACCCTATTGATTTTGATTATCAACATTTTAGAGCTTCCTGCTCCAGGATTACTTCAAGGAATATATATCCAATTTTGTCAACATCCAAACTTTCCTTTTGCATACACTGCAATGGCAGTGATGGCATTTTACCCGTATATTCCGGACTTGTCCGAATCTTTTTTCCAAACGCCAAAAATTGTACGACCAGGAATATGCCCAATCGGACATCAAGACATGGTGAATAATATTCAAATTCCAAAATTAATATAGTGTACTGAGTGTATAACTACCGTGCAACCTGATTATCGTTGATAATACAATAGGCTGGATTGATTAGGTAATTTAAGTGATCGACTATTTATCGTGTTATATCGTCTACACACCTACCTTGATTAACCACTTATTCTGCCTTGATTGGCTGACTTAATTCTTTATCGGACAATTCAACAAATCAATCCTGAACAGAAGTCATTGCTTCTCCTTTGTCGGACGATATATCAATCCAATAAGAGTGATTATAAACTTAACCTGATTAACCCGTAATTTCTCCATTGTCTCACATTTTAATCTCCTTTGTGTCGGACAATAACACGTAGAAATTAGTCATATATGTCACATATCCTGATAGTATATAACACCTCAAATCAACATACATTGTATCCGATAACTTGTCTGTGATATGTTTTCGGTGGAAGCCAAAGTTAAATAAAGATATTTCACACACACGCATATGGCGCTTATATAGTTCAGTAATTAAAATGAAAGTACAAATCTCGCGAGACACGTGAAATTAAGAGATGTATACGTGCCGAATGCAATACGCCTGATGTCTGAGAAAAAATTGTATTTTGATGCCATATTGTCGGATTTATGATCATATTTTGAATGGGGTTTATGTCTTTAAATAAATAAATAAACACGCTAAGAAATGTTGACGAATATTTCGATTGGAATGATGTAAGAAGTTAATTGTTTTAGACGATAGCGCGTGCTACAATCGAATGCAATTATTTAGCAGTTGGTGTCACTTGCTCGTTGTATTAGATTGTTGTTAACTACGGTTTACGGCCAAATAAATTTTGGGATGTCATTTTTTACCTTCCGTATATAAATCTAAACGGAGTATCAGACGAATGTCAGACCCTGCTGAAAAATGTACCGACTTATGACCCGAAAAATACGGTAATTTTTGGGGAGTTTGAAACAGATCGGCAGCAGTCGGCACGCTGCCTTACGATGTCATGTAATATTGTAGGAATATTATTGACATAAATTTGAATACCGTACGGGTTTTAAACATGAAATATAACGAGGTACACCTATTTTTTTTTACATATGAATTTGAATATATTTTGTTGACACGTGATTCTTAATTGTGTTTTGAAAACGTCTGCTTAAATTACGATAAGAGTTATGCCCCTTTATTTTCCTGAAAAAATGTCCGACAAGAAATTTTTTGAAATCCCATCACTGTGGTTAACCCTGTCGATTTTCTAAATTGGGACCAGAGATAACGAATCCTGTTGATGTTTAGCATTCCAGGACCTTCTTTTCCAAAGGGGGGTTGGATGGCTGAATGGTTAGCGTGCGCGCGCTGTATCATAAAGTCTGTCATTGAGTCGACTGGCATGGTTTCAAATCCCCGGTTGTATGTGACAAGGAGTAGGGTCGTCTGCCCAACCTCGTGGGTTTTCTCCGGGTCCTCTGGTTTCCTCCCACTGCTAAAGACCCCTACGCGCAAGCGAATTATTGAAATAAAAATTAAACCATATGTTAGTCCCGAAATGACCTAGTTTGTGTCGAGTGGACGTTAAACCCCATTTCTCTCTCTCTCTCTTCTTTTCCAAAGATATGCTATGAATCTTGCCAGAAAACTTGTGAGCACGATAGAATCTTATCATATATACCTTCCATTTGAAGTTAATCCCCTCTTTTTGAACGTGTTAGAGTCCACAGTTTTAAACACATTTCATTGTGGGAGTATTATGTTGTTGTCTCTGTCTGTCAATCGGTCGTTCTGTAAACATGTAGCTTGTGAACACGATAGAGGCTAATTTTAAATTAAAATGTTTGTCTTCTTTTGACCCTTATATGCTTAACACCAAACTTGAAAAAAAAATCATTAAAAATGGGCTTCTAGCACATTCACATGCTCGACAGCGTGACAGTATTATATGCCCACACTGAAATTTCGACCTCTAACGTTAAAATTTTGGTTTAACGTCCTACTGTTCTGCTCCTAAACTGGGCTAATGAAGACGGGCATACTCCATACAGAGTGCTATGAGAGAAATTTTGCCTGGGCAGCGGCGCTACAGCCTACTCTTATATCGAATTCCAACTGCCAAGGGATCTTTTACGTGCACGCCAATGTGTACACGGGACCTCGGTTTTTTGTCCCATCCGAACGACTAGACAGCTGTCCTTGTCAGGCCCTCCGTCCTGCATCACTGACAAGGGGAAAACCACGCCGGAAAATCTGGATGAACTTTCTCGGCCAATGCAGGGATCGAACACCCGACCTCCAGGCTAGCGAGCTAGCATCTTACAATATGGCCACCATTGACACCTTAAAACTCCAATATCTCGGGAATGGTTGAGTTTGGAGGGTGTAAATGTATTACGGGTAGATAGGAAAGTGTTACAGATGACTCAAAAA